TTCTCTCTCTCTCTCTCTCTCTCTCTCTCTCTCTCTCTCTCTCTCTCTCTCTCTCTCTCTCTCCCTATTATTGAAATCTTCCCCCTCCTTGCCCCGTGAACGTAGGCACATTACCGAACCATATAAATTTGGTGTCTTGTTGTGTGGTGCATGTGTTTAGTTATCGATTTGTGCTCCTATCTCATTTGTGTTAGTGTTCGTCAATTCCGCTGCGCACAACAAGTGGTATCAGAGCTTCGGGTTTTGGCTTGGGGTTCAATTTGGAGGATTTCGTGCATATTCTCGTTTGAAGAGATTGGATCGTCATAATGACCGAAGCAAGTACATTCGGATTATCCCTAACTAAGGCGATACAAGGTTTGAGCATTACTAATACTAAAATTAATGTTCAAAAATTTGATGGCAAGATAAATTTTAGTTTGTGGAGGTGTCAAGTGATGGATACATTGTAGGCGTCAAAAAATGCTAAAAGATATCCAAGCACAGTTCAAAAGGAGATTATCGAAAAATCAAAGAAAAAGACAGTCTTTACTGTCTCGCACGCGAGACAGTCTTTACTGTCTCGCCGTGCGAGACAGTCCTTACTGTCTCGCCGTGCGAGATAATGTTCACTGTCTCACAGAGCGAGACAGTGTTTACTGTCTCGCAGAGCGAGACAGTTCTCGAAGGCTCAGAAACTGTTTTATAAACCGCCGACACGTGGCCATTAACTGCCAAAGAACATGGGAAACGTTGTGGGCGAGAATCACGTTGACAACTGCCAAAATAACAGAGTTTTAAAACGTGGGAAGGCAGTTACAACAAAAACTGCTAGACAGTTACTGTTTCTGAGATAGTATTTACTGTCTCGCGGGCCGAGACAGTCTTTACTGTCTCGGCCACCGAGACAGTAAACACTGTCTCGGAAGCACTGTTCATCCTGGAGGCTATAAATACCCCTGAGATCGATTTTTGAAGAGGGCTGATCATTCTTGAACACTTTGGAGCAGACAGAGCAGAGTTCCTGAGCTTCTGTCAATTCCTTGAGATTCGAGCTTTGACTTGATCTTAAGAAGAGTGATCGTCTTACTTTGATAAGATCTTCACTTCAAATTCCTACTTCGATAAACGAAGGAAGAATCACTTAACCCCTCACGATTCAATCAGAATCTGTGATTTGGTGGTTCACGAGTCAAAGCGTTCCCGGCACAGGCAAAGATCCCACGCAAGCAGCGATCCAAACAACGATCCTGCGTTTGTTTCTAAAAAGTTGTAATTTTCATTTTGTTGTGTAAAAGAAGTCTTATAAAAAGGCTATTTCTTTTGAATTTGTTGTAATCGACTGAAGATATAATGAATTCCACAACGAGACCAACTTTTGACGCAAACATACATTAGACGCTCAAAATTTGGAGGAGAAGCTTGAATTACAAGAGAAACCCGATGATATGGAGGATAATGTTTGAAAGAAAATAAATAGTAGAGCATGTAGGGTTATTAGATCATGTTTGACGCCGGATTTGATTTATGATGTCATGAATAAAACATCGGCGAAATGATTTTGGGAAACACTCAATGACAAGTACTTGACGAAGAGCATTGAGAATAGGCTTCATTTAAAGAATAAAATTTATCAATTCAAGGTGAAGAGGAGAGTTTCCATTAGAGAGCATGTTAATAACTTCAAAAAGTTACTTTCAGATATGGCCAATGTGGATATCATGGTAGAGGATGAAGACAAGGCGATGTTGTTGCTATGTTCATTGCTAAAGGATGATTATGGTATATTTGTCCTTACGATAATTAATGATAGAACCAATGTTAGTTACAAGAAGGTGACATCAGCATTGTAAATTATAAGTTGAGGAAGAGTGATGGCGAACCCTCCGAGAAGGCATCGACAGATGCATTGGCACTGAGAGGCCGTAGTCCCAAACCCCGTCCATTTAGTCACTCAAAATCAAAGCCAAGAGGTGGTCGTAGAAGTGTAGGTAGGAATCAATATACTTTTTGCAAAGAGGATGGACATTGGAAAAATAAATGCCCAAAGTTGAAAGATAGAGCCGAGAAGAACAAAAGGAAAGCCGTTCAGACTTCAGAGGTGAATATTGCTAAAATTAGTGGTGACAATTCAAATTTAGATTCTTCAGGTTATTCATGCTCAGCATTACCGTCAATTTGTTATGCAGACTCTACAGAGTGGATGTTATATTCGGGTGCTACATACCATATTTGCCCTAGGAGGGATTGGTTCTCTAGCTTTGAGAAGTAGAGATGTGGGATGTCGTGTTAATGGGAAATGATCATGTATATCCCATTGGTGGTATTAGAACAGTTCGAATCAGGATGTGTAACGGTGTGACTAGGGAGTTGAAGGAAGTAAGATTCATTCCTCAATTGACGAAGAATATCATTTTACTTAGAACTTT